CTCGTTGGGTTATTGCTAATCTCTGAACTTGAGGGGTTGGGTTGATTCGTTCCGCTCTCTCCAAGTCCGCTAACTCCTCTCGGGCGATCCAATTCTCGCAAATCCTCAGCATCTCTTCTCCTCCGGCTAGATTGCGGATTACCTCCTGACTGCCAATAGCTTGTTGGAGCGCAAATCGCATCATCGGCACATTCTGGTGCTCTCTCGCTTGGACGAACATGAGCCATTGATCGTTGAATAAATTGATGATCGTCTCTAGTTGCTCGTTGTCCACTATGATGTCTTCCTGGCCATCCGGGGCCTGGGATTGATCCATCGCTGGGATAAGGGTCTGATTTGGCTGACGAGGGGTCGGAGATTGAATCTGAAACCCTGTCGCGGTATTCGTAGGGATCGCGAAATTCTGGCGTTCTACCGGGCGTGGTACTGGGGTGGACCGATTGGACATTGTCTCCAATGCCAGTGAGGTTGCTCGCGAGTTGATGAGGGCTGGAGAGACGCCTAGTTCCGAACGCTGCGCTCCCTCCGCTGGTCTTCTCGTGCCAGTTACGTTGATCGGAGGCAGACTGGAGCTTAAGCTTGCGAAGTCGCTCCGTTGCGGCGGCACTAAGTCGGTATCTTGCGTCATCGCCTCGCTGTAGTCCAGCAGGTCTGTCTCTAGCTCCGGCGTCGAGCGGTTGGTCGGTCTCTCGCTGAGCCTGCTTGTCTCGCTCGGTCTCGCTTGTGGGTTGTTCGCCTCTAGACTGGGCTCTTCTAAGGACGGTGTTGCGCTGTTGTTGCTCAATAGAGATGTTACGTCCATTTCTTAAATGGGCGCCCATTGTGAATAAGAGAAAAAGTAGCGTATTCAGGTTAGATCTCTGGTTCCGATATAAGTAGAATGGGAGATCAATCGATCTAACGATACGACTGTCTGAGAGAGAAGGGAAAAAAAAATTTTTGTCGAAGAAAAAAAAAATAGGGGTTGATGTACCTGTAGAGGTCTGTTTCGGAGTTTGTCTAGGAGTCGCTTTCCTTTTAGAACGAGTGGTAGTAGCTGTAGGAGTCCGAGTATTGGTCAGTACTGTTCTCTAAGTTGACAGTAGTTTGGCCGATCTATTACTTGTAGAGCTGAATCAAGGAAAGTAATGATTCAAGAAAGGACAAGTACCTGGTTTTTTCTTGGCACTCGGTTTCTTATTAGACTTTTTAGAAAGGTATGTGGATATATCGGGCGTCCACTCAGGAAATCGAGGCGGTTCGGCTTCTCTGTGAGACTTCCTTTTCGTTTGTTTTCTAGTTCCAGATGTAGAGGAAGTAGCGATAGGAGTCCAACAGTTTGACGAGATCAAATTTCCTTCTTTCGGATGGGCTAACGATTGGTTGTCCAAGGAGTCAAAATCCTTCTCTGCTTCTGAAGGTATCAAAGAAAGATCCGAGGATGATGGAGACTTAGAATCGATTGGAGAATCGGGTATAACTCGTTTGCTAGTCTTCACTTCGCCGATTAGTGGACGTAGTCATAGGATACGGACAAGGTAGAAACGAACGATAGGAAAGGTCAGATAGGTTCTTGCAACTTGTAGACTGGAAACGTAATGATATGGACGAATTTTCGCTGCGAGTTGAGAAAGAAAATTTCTTTTTTGGCGAGCGCTTCGCGATGAAAAACAGAAAGTTTGGCGAGCGCTCCGCGATGGAATTTTGGAGAAGTAAGTTTGAAAAATTGAAAAATAGGATTTATCAATAGCTTTTTTTTTTCTTTTGGATAAATGAAGTGTCAAGAGAGGGGTTTTTTTTTTTACTTTTAAATCTTTAGAGGCCTGATAATGAAGATTAGAGTTTGAAAGTATGATTATGAGAGGTCTAAAGAATATATTTCCCGATGAGGCCCCCAATTGTGAGCCTGGGTCTCGAAAGTGACGGCAGGACACAAGGATGGGGGGGCAATTCTAGATGTATTTCAAGGAGATAGAGAAATACAACTAGAATAAGAGAAAGGGAGAAGAGAGAGAAAGAAAATGAAAAAGAAATGAATAATATTTTTTTATTGTTTATTTGTTTTATAATCAAGGTTTACTGCAGTCTTACTTTCCTGTGGAAGGATGGCTGTTCTATAGCGGAATAAATCTACGCCTCCTAACTCAACTGAAACTGAGAAGGGTTCCTGGTATTGATAAATCAATCCGGCCACTATTTTTTAGATCTAAGATCAAGGGTCTTTAAAGGGAAACCTATGTGGTTTTTAGTTATACCACCAAACAGAGAATTAAGATGACTTGATTTGATAAGATGATGTTTGAGGCAGAGGTTTAGTAGAAAAGGAATGATGTGATCATTCAGAGAGACAGAGAAGGAACTTAGCAGAAAGATGCAAGCTGAACTTGAAGGAATGACTTACTATTTGGTGATCCTGACACTGAGAGTGGGAAGATTCCAAAGAGTAAAGGACTCCAAACGATAACACGGCGATGATACGGCGGTGAATCCAAGTTGAGGTGTGCTGGGTTTCTGGTCTGAGTTGGTTCTGGGTGGGTCTGAACCTTGAAGATCCTGAAAATGCGAACTCAGTGTCTACTGAGAAAATTTTCAGAGTTGTATTACATAATCACAACATGTACATGTGGTAGAGAGTTGGAATTCCAACTTGGTTGATATTTCACAAGGTACTGTGAAATATTACAAAGTCTATGAAGGAGAAGAGTAGTGCAAAAGTGTGTAGTGGTGACTAGGGTTAAAATTAACAGAGCAATTCATTTCTGAAGTCAGAAAGTAATAAAAGATTAAGATGAAAAAGTTACAGTAGGAACTTGAGTGAAGAAGGAGGACTTAAAGCAGTCTTTTGGCCAGCTTGGCTGGCTCTAAGGCTGACAGAGTGTACCTCAGCAGCCGGGAGGAATCCTCCCGGCCTCTGACATGGGTCTTTTGGGTCATTGACCCCCAAACCAACCGGGGATTTTTATTTTTATTTGTTATTCTTTTAAGGAGTAAACTCCCAAACCAATCAAAGGTTTTGGGGGTTTGACTCCCATTTTTCGGGGAATCTGGGGCTTGGGAGTTGGCTTTCCACTTTTTGGGAGTCGTTTAACCAAGCCCCAATTTTTTTTACGCTCAAAACTTGTTTTACTTGCGTGTATAACCATAGAGGATTATTTTAGACTATTCTTACATTCAATTTGACCTACTTTACCTTTTGTATCTGCTGTGTACTATATATTAGCAATAGAAATCCAGAAATCTTGTTATATAATGAAAGATAGCACAAAAACAATGCGACAGAAGAAATTTCCCTTTGCTGTTCATGGTTTACTTTCTCTTTCTCTCTTCCTTGAGACCATCCTTCTTGTTTTCAAGTATGCCATGTTTAATCTTACAAAGTTATTCTTGGAATAAAAAGCAACAGACATACCCCTGGTAATATAAATTGAGTTGAGATGGTGTTATCTTTGTGTTACATGATTTTTCCAAATCAACAGATGTTGCTAGATGACATTAACATAGGATAAGACATGTAATATTTCTGACATAAGTTTGAAGAATCAGCCAAGGAAGAAATTACCTGGGCAGCTCAAGATGTCAGGAGCCATTTGCAAAAGCCCATCATGATTATTACAAGCATTTTTTTTCTGAAACCACCACTTGAGGGTGTCAATAGGAGAAACATCATCAAAGAGGAGCCCTAAAACTAGCCAAGTTTCAAATGAATCAGTTAGAAAAATTTTAATGAGTGTTTCACAGCCCAAAACTTTTGAACAAGATTTTGATTGGAAACAAAACTGATACTTGTAATGATATCAGACTGTATCCTTCTCAGATTCCATGTCTTCTACATGAGTCCCAAATCAAATCAAGGCTTTACTTGGTATAAGTGTGAGCTTCTAAATTTTAACAATATTGTGTGATAATTGGAGTTTCCCATTTTTTTACTGGGAGAAGATAAAATCCAATGAATTGACAATATACAGTCACATCTCATTTTTCACCAAGCAATAGATATCCAAGCTTAACAGAAACCAACACTATGATACAGCATTATGTTTTTCTCTTAGCTCAATTATGAATTATTTTGTCCATATTACATTTTGAAATCAATCCTAAACTGTATATTTGTAATTGGGTATTATTGTTGAACAATCATTTGCAAACTTGGAAAACTACTGAGATATGACTGAGATAGAATCATTGATATGACATGTTTTGCCTATTGTAACCACACAGATGAGCTTTGAGATACACATGGGATACAGCAAGTGGGTGCCTGATCCATTTGCCTGGTGATTTTTTTTTTTGCTCTAATTCTCTATGTTAATATTGCAACATGGATCATCTAATAAGACTCATTCAAGACTTTCATTCCATTCCTTGTATATCCTTGTTCTGTGATCTCAGCTTCATTCTGATTCTTCCTGCCAGACCTTAATTCTTCCCTTCTCTTTGCTTCAAAAATAAACTGTGCTAAAATTATCAAGATACCTCCTCATTGGTTTTGGATTTCTCTTTTGAACAAGACCACAGTCACCCAAGCTCATTGTTCATTTTCAATCTGAGAACATTGAGGCATGGCCCACCTTGCTCTCAGAAAACATTTGGATGATGCATTGTGCCGCTCCCCAGCTGAGCATGTTTATACAAAAACCTGTTCCGGGCAGCAATCTTGACCATGGCAGAATAGTGGGGCATTAATGGATACAGCATCAACATTTCTTTTTGACATTGGTTACAATCAATAAACAACGCAATGAAGTGTTGCAATGGACACAGGGTTCACAAAAGTTGTGACACAGGAGTAACTACTAAGATAACATTGGTTTTAGATTAAGTGATGGAAGATGTGAAGATGAGAAACTACATGAACTGCATACAACTATTTTGAAGCATATGATTGATTAAGCATCTCAACATGAAAAGTGTTGAGATTGAAGCGGAAAGCAGGAAAGAATACACAGAAATGGGCATATTTCTACAAATTAAGCCAAAGGTGCATCACTAATAAATTCATTTCTGTGCAGATCGGAGAATCGTCAAGATGTATCGGCTTCCTGGGATCGCTAGCTCAAGCCTGAAAAGCGGATTATTGTCGGATCGGTCAACCAATCCTGTAGGAACTTATTACATGGCTAGATAGAGTGAAACTTACCAATGTGCTGGGTGTTTTACCAGCATCCGAAGCGTCTTTCTTCCAGAGGCCACCATATCCAGGGTAACCGGAGTAGCTGAACAGAGAGTTGTAGGGCAAATAGGCGGAAGCGCCGTACCAAGACCAAGGGTAGAGAAGTGAGTTGAAGGAATACATGCCGCCTCCGAAGCACGAGTAGGAGTAAACGCCCCAGCACTTCTCGTCGGAGTGGCCTTTGGTAGCCGTAGTGTCTGCTCGAGGTGCAATAGTTGGCACGGCCAACGCCGACTGAAGGACGGCCAAGAAGCAAGCGAGGTAAAAGAGGCAGTGCATGGTGGTTGGGCTTTTTTGGGTTGGTTGGGTTTTGAGACTGTTGGGTTTAGTGTTTGTGGTTGTGTTGGTTGAGATGGAGTGATGGATGAGTGAGGATGGACTGGAGGCCTGTCCCTAGCCCATCCTTAAATAGATTTTTTTGATGGTCCTCGACTTGCTCTTTGCGATCCATCAGAATCCGTGACTTGTGCACTTGCAAGCCGAATCACTGCTCTGCCAATAGTTGGAGTAGACAATCCCTCTCCTGAGTTTAGCCAATGGGAGTCTGCGTAACCAGGTCTGCATACCTTTCTACCTCTTTTCCCGCTTGACGATCTTAATGAGGTGCGCGGTGCCATGTGCAAAAAGTAGAAGATTTCTACTCGAGTCTTGGGCTTTTTGTCCTTCAAAGTTCCGCATGGTAGCTCAGCCGGCGGGCGGCCCTCCCGAGTCCCATTGTGTGCCGGCTCTGGTTTGCCAAGTGTGCGGCTGAGAAATTTGGTTCAAGCAGAAATTCGCACAAGTATCTATCTACATATGTGAAAGTGCTCATCCCTTAACAACCTTGGGACTTGTAGAGCAAGCCAGCATCTCTCCCAGAGATAGCCGGACATGGGCGATGGATTATCTACGCCAGCCTTCAAGCTCAGGCTCTCGGCAAAGTACGAGTTCATCGTGCAAGTGGTGAAGTGAACGAGGCAGAGACTATGGTGCAAGGAGGAGAGCAAGTCGAGGGCCATCGAAAAATCTACTTAAGGACTGCTTGGACCGGCCTCCAGTCCATCCTCACTCATCCATCACTCCATCTCAACCAACTCAACCCAACAACCCACAAACTCAACCAACCCAAAAAGCCCAACCAACATGCACTGCCTCTTTTACCTCGCTTGCTTCTTGGCCGTCCTTCAGTCGGCGTTGGCCGTGCCAACTATTGCACCTCGAGCAGACACTACGGCTACCAAAGGCCACTCCGACGAGAAGTGCTGGGGCGTTTACTCCTACTCGTGCTTCGGAGGCGGCATGTATTCCTTCAACTCACTTCTCTACCCTTGGTCTTGGTACGGCGCTTCCGCCTATTTGCCCTACAACTCTCTGTTCAGCTACTCCGGTTACCCTGGATATGGTGGCCTCTGGAAGAAAGACGCTTCGGATGCTGGTAAAACACCCAGCACATCGGTAAGTTTCACTCTATTTAGCCATGTAATAAGTTCCTAAAGAATTGGTTGACCGATTCGACAATAATGCGCTTTTCAGGCTTGTAAGAAACTGTGATGAGGAGTGCTCGAGTATTAGCGACGAAGAACCTGAGAGAGAATAAAAGATAAAAGATCTTTTATGATAGACGACAAACCTGTGATGAGGAGTGCTTGAGTATTAGCGACGAAGAACCTGAGAGAGAATAAAAGATAAAAGATCTTTTATGATAGACGACAACTGAGAGTCGCCCGAATAGTGAGACGAATAAATAAGATCGAATTAATATTAGAAAACACAGAAAAGAGAACAATCATTAATGATGACACTACTTACACCTGTGATGAGGAGTGCTCGAGTATTAGCGACGAAGAACCTGAGAGAGAATAAAAGATAAAAGATCTTTTATGATAGACGACAACTGAGAGTCGCCCGAACAGTGAGACGAATAAATAAGATCGAATGAAGAAAAGACAAAAGAGAACAAAAGACAATGAGACAAAAGAAATCATGACGAAAGAAAATCCCCATGAGTCATGCACCATCCCGATCATCCCAATGATCCTTCAACCGCCTTTACCGGCCCGATCCATATTACTGTCATCATCACACCCCTCCATGTTCTCCAAACTGATCACCCCCACATCTGCTTTATTTTTAATGATTCCACTACTTGGTTGAGATTTAGTAAGAAAGTCGGCCAAGTTTTCCGCCGAACGGCAAAAAGATAGACCAAAAGATTTATTGATATGAAATCGAATCCAATGCAACCGAATATTGATGTGACGAGTTGCATGATGATATAAAGGATTCTCCAAAAGAGCAATTGCCCCTTTATTATCATTCAAGAGAGTCGGTTCTCCCGACATTTCCACCTTAAGAGAAGGGCCTATTTCGCCTAATAACGAACATAGCCATAAAATATCCTGCCCAGATTCCGAACAAGATCGATGCTCCACCTCAGTCGTCGACAAACCCGTAACCGGCTGCTTCGAGCATCGCCATCCAACCGTCCCCAAAAAAGTGACCAAATTCCCAGAGAACGAACGACCGTCAATCGAACCACCCCAGTCCGCATCCGCCCAAGACATAATCTTCCTAGGTCCATTCCCCAAAACAATTCCAGTATCCGCCGTCGCCTTCAAATATCGCAGGCAATGATGAAATCCAGACACCGCCTTCTTCGTTGGTGACAACAAGAATTGAGATAAGAAACTGCTGGTGAATGCCAAATCCGGACGTGTGCACTGAACAAGATAATTGAGAAGACCAACTGCGCGTCGATAATCGATAGAATTATCCGGAACATCATCCACTTCATTGGGTTTTCCGTTGATTTTTGGAACCAAAGGCGTTTTCGCTCCGTTACAGTCAGCCATTCCAAATTCCTTCAAGATATTTTTGATGTATTGATCTTGCACCAGAAAAATTCGACTATTAGGACGATCACGGACAATTCGGATCCCGAGAACAAAGCTAGCCTCGCCCAAATCCACCATCTCAAACCTAGAGCTCAATAGGTTCTTTACCCAATCAATTGACTTTCCACCGATTATAAGATCGTCAACGTGGACGAAAATAAAGGTAGCTTCATCACCCTTGTAAAGAAACAAGCACGGATCCGAAACCGTCGGATAAAAATCGATTTCAGCGAAGAATTTGGAAAGAGCCTCGTGCCACATTCTTGGACTTTGCTTCAAACCATACAAGGACTGATTCAAGTACAGACCCTCGCCAGGTTTCAAATCAACGTTGACACCTTCCGGAACTTGAATGAAGATGTCACAATCAGGCTTTCCGTTCAAGAAAGCACATTTAACATCCATTTGATGTAATTCCAAGTCCAACAAGGCAGCGATAGCCAAAATGGTGCGCAACGTTTGAAGTCGACCAGTCGGAGAAAATGTAGCCGTGTAATCGATGCCTTCTTTTTGCAGAAAACCACGAACAACAAGCCGAGCCTTGAACTTATCAATTTCACCGAACATGTTGAATTTGGTCTTGAAAACCCACTTGCAAGAAAGCGGTTTACAGCCAGGAATAAGCTTCCTAATCGACCAAACAACATGTCGTTCCATGTTCTGAAGCTCGTTGTCAATAGCCGCCACCCAGTCCAAAGCAGCAGAAGAGGAAACAGCCGCTTTATACGTCAGAGGATCAGACGCAGATGGTTCCATAACAATGTTATTGGCACGGCGTCGAGTAAGAATGATATTGTCTTCCGAAAGAGTGGAAGTGATATCACGTGGGGCAACGTCGTAATACGGTACGTTCGCATAGCCCCTTTTGGTAGAAGATGATGGCTGATTGCCTTCATTTTCATTTTGACCCTGCAGCAACTGTTCAACCTGAGAATCATCAGATGGTGATGAACTATCGCGTGGGGTATCTTCCATGACAGAAGTCGAATCATGGAAACCTTCAGAGTGTGAAGTACTACCCTCACCAATATCTCCCAGGTCAACATTTGCTGGATTTGAATTAACGACTTCTTCCTCGACGGGCAAGTCGAAAACAGTCGCGTCAATTGACAAAGGATGGGAGAGAAGTTGAATACCCGGAAATTGATCTTCTTTGAAACGAAGATTATGAGTAAACATAACAACATTCTTCTTACAAGACCAGATCCTGTAATTTTTGTGCCCTTCTTGATAGCCAAAGAGAATTCCCTTAGCACCAGATGAAGCCATTTTTGAATCACGACCCACTTTTTCTTCATAATAAACAACTTCACACCCAAAAATCTTCAAGTGATCCAACCTCGGTTCGTCGTTGTGCCACACGAAATAAGGTGAATCCATATTGAGTGAGGAATTAGGAGTCCGATTAATGAGATAAACCGCTGTATTAACAGCTTCCGCCCACCAAACTAGATCAAGGTTCCCCGTCTTTAACAAACATCGAGCCTTTTCAACCACAACCCGATTACTCCTTTCAGCAAAAGGATTTTGCTGAGGAGTATAAGGAGCCGTTCGAAGAGGTTCGATTCCCTTCTTCTTGAAATAGTCAGAGAATTTATTGTTAACAAATTCTCCTCCATTATCCGAAACAACCGCTTTCACTTTCCGACCAGTTCTGGTTTCCATCACATTGAAGAGTTCGACGATGACGTCGAAAGCTTCAGACTTTCGCGTGAGAAAGCGAACGAACCGAAAACGAGATTTTCCATCCACCAACAGCAAAAAGTAAGAGGATTTTGCCGGCGTCGGAGGTGAGATCGGTCCACACAAATCAATGTGAACAACATCCAAAATTCCGGCAGGTTCAGGAAAACTTCCCTTGAAAGGTTGGCAAGTTGATTTAGAAAGGAGACAAGCATCGCACTCGACAGAAGAAAAAGGAATTCCAGGGAACGATTCCTTCAAGAAGACGTCGCTCGGGTGTCCCATTCTGTTATGCAAAGTAACCGGCGAAACAGTTACACTATTGACATCCAGCTTGATTTGAGGAATAACCAGAACACCGGCGCTATAAGTCCCTTGAAAGACAGTTGAACCAAGATGATTGACCACTTGGTACCGATCAGAATCCATAGGAACGACAGACATCTTCATTTTAAGAAGAGATGACGCTGCCACAAGGGAAGAAGAAAGAGCGGGAGCGTAAATGGAGCTGCCTAAGAATAAAGGACCTGACGTCGTAGTGAGAACTGCATCGCCATATCCATCTGCCTCTATCTTCTTTCCGTCCGCCAAGAACAAAGTGATCGGCTTCTTCACAATGGAATCGAAGAAACTACTATTGTTCAACATTGAAACTGAAGCACCGCTATCCAAAATGACTTCTCCCGAAGATTCAGAAGAACCAATAGCAAAGGTCTTCATATTATCCCACGTCAGAACCGAAACATTCTTTGCTTGCTTTGCTTGAAAGAAAGCCAAGGCGAGTTCTGGATGAAGAGTAAAGCAGTTCGACTCTTTATGCGACGTTCGCGGATTATGGGCCCCGTTGTCACAAGATTCGGGGACAAATTTCTTCTTCTCCTTTTTTGAAGAAACCGGAGACGAAGAAGTTGAAGTTGAGGAAGTTACCGGCGCAGCTGAAGAGAAGGCCGGACGCTGAGAAGTATTCACAGCAAGGGCGTGATTGATTTCTTCTTTTTGAGAACGTCGATTCACAAAAAGATGAATTTCGTTGAAAACTTTACGCAAACTCAGATCCTCGTCTCCAGATGATTCTCGAAGCAAAATCGTTGCAATGAGATCGAAGGAAGCAGGAAGGCGCCGAAGAATGATGTGCGCCCATACCGAATCCAGAGTTGGTCGATGAAATTTTGGTTTAATTTCCATCAATAAATTAAAATCGTTACGAAATTTCGTAACACTTCTCTCCAAGTCTCCTTCCAGCCACGTAGATGAGATCACTCGATCCCAGATGGAAGCGGCGTTTTCAGAAGACTTTCCAACATGATATCGAACAATGTTATTGTAAAGTGTTTGGGGTTCAAACACTCGCAATTTGTTTCGATCAACAAACCGAGACTCGTTATCTTTGTCCAGTGACATGCGGATCATGGTAGTCGCTATGCGCTTCCGTTGAACTATCGTGTCGGTGACACCAGCTGGGGGATCACCTCCCAACACCAAGTCCTCTAGATTCTTAAGGACAAGGTGATTGATTAGGGAGGTTCGCCAAGAATCAAAAGTATCGTCCGTGAGAACGATCATCTTCTTGGCACCAGCTTTATCATCGATAGCAACGGTGGCTTCGTGAGAATCCGTCATCGCGTTCAGAGGTAAACGTTCGTTTAAAGGTAAATGGGATCTTTAGAGCGCTGGGCTCATAACCTAAGAAACTGTGATGAGGAGTGCTCGAGTATTAGCGACGAAGAACCTGAGAGAGAATAAAAGATAAAAGATCTTTTATGATAGACGACAAACCTGTGATGAGGAGTGCTCGAGTATTAGCGACGAAGAACCTGAGAGAGAATAAAAGATAAAAGATCTTTTATGATAGACGACAACTGAGAGTCGCCCGAATAGTGAGACGAATAAATAAGATCGAATTAATATTAGAAAACACAGAAAAGAGAACAATCATTAATGATGACACTACTTACACCTGTGATGAGGAGTGCTCGAGTATTAGCGACGAAGAACCTGAGAGAGAATAAAAGATAAAAGATCTTTTATGATAGACGACAACTGAGAGTCGCCCGAATAGTGAGACGAATAAATAAGATCGAATGAAGAAAAGACGAAAGAGAACAAAAGACAATGAGACAAAAGAAATCATGACGAAAGAAAATCCCCATGAGTCATGCACCATCCCAATCATCCCAATGATCCTTCAACCGCCTTTACCGGCCCGATCCATATTACTGTCATCATCACAGCTTGAGCTAGCGATTCCACTAGGCCGGTATTATACGATAACGACTCTCCAATGGGCGAAGGAAGTAGTAGTTCTAGTACCAGACCTTTGGATTAATTTGTAGAACTTTGCCCCCTTTCATGTATCATTTTTCCTGCCTTTCCGGTTCAATCTTAATACTTTTCATTGCGTTGTTCGCTGTTGATTCATTGTAACCGAAGCAATTATTTTGTTCTTTTTTATTGCTGCCCCAACCAATCTGTTATGATCGAAAACTGTTTCCAGCGAGGGGTTCGTGTTTCCACATGCTTGAGATAGCTGTTGTGTCTGTGGGTACACAATTCAGTCGCCAAAGTGTTTTTGAGACGAAGGTCGACCAGGCCGCATTCCTGGCGTCCGATCCGGTTGCAGACAGTCACCCGGAGGCTCATGAGGAGCGCTTCCATCTCAAATCAAATTGTGACACCGTCGTCAATGTTCCTGCAACTTCCTTTATGGCGATGTGCAACATTACCTGGAGAAGATTCAGCGGCTTGCCACTCTTTTTTTTCTAGGGCGGGAAGGATATACAGCATTGATCTCATGAGCAAACTAACTGGGCACAAGTCAAGTAAAATCAAACATGAAGGGTGCTGAAGCGTGCTAATCAAACAGTTTCTTGGATCATTTTGAATTCATTTTGAATTATTTTGAAATGTAAAATTTGAATACCCAAGAAATCGGTTGAAAAACACGCTTCTGTGCGGTCAGCTTGCCCGACTTTTCCACTTGTGTAGCAGGCCTCGACTCTCGATGCCCGCATTCTTACTTCTTGATCTTGCTGAAGGTACATGCACCCTTATCAAACAATCAACTCAACAAAGTCCAGACTGACGAGGTCGCGAAGGTGCGAGCACGGGTGTGACTTGCGTGGATTTCACTTATCAGGCTTTCCTTCGCGAAGCGGGCGTTTCGCGGCCAGGCAGGGACTCATGAATCCGTGATAAGTTAGTCTTGCACAAGTAGCTTGATCTGCAAGACGGCATCCGATACAAATTGGGATACAACGAGATTGGGTTTCTTATCTTTAGCTATGCATCCACCGCGTGTATTGTTGACCAGCGTCTTTGTATGATACTTTACAAACTTGAGAGTTGCTTTGGAAATTTTGCGTCACCAGTTTCAGGAATTCAAGCTCCCTCCTCTTTTACTACTAACCCCTGTATCCCCTGGCCCGAACTCGCCTGACACGTCTAACGGCATGCTGTACTTGTTTGCATGAGTCTCGACAAAAATCTATGTGCACAAACGCGATGTTGCTCAGCAGCAGGTGTTGATTTGACAAGATTGGGACTAGTTTCGAAATTCTTCCTAATCCCAATGCTTGACTCCTGTTCTCCCGAACCAGAACAAGTGTGAGCCAGATGTTTTGGGATCCGTGATTGCACTTTTCCCTTCGAGTGTTTGTCGCCAGCTGCAGGTTTAAATGCTTCTCGGCTTGAAGTCTTACCGGACAGGTTCCCGCTTCGGTTGCCAAACTCTGTGCCCACCCAGCAAGATGAATATTGGAATAACCCTCTATGTCTTGTGTTCTTCAATTCTTTTCCCCTGTGAGGCAATTGACGAGATCCTCGATCAACCTCACGACGATCTGTTCGCCTGGAACCTCCAACCCTCCAACCTAGATGACATTTTTTTCGGCTCCCCGAGCCAGACTCAGCATCCTCCTCATTATAATCACGACACGGCTTCTTCATTTTTATCAAGCCCACAAGACACTCCTCCACATGCTTCGACAACTTCTTCTATCCTCCAACTTGACCCTTCTCAAGCCCATTGGGGACCTGCATTCAACTCTCCAAGTTCATACCCGCCAATACGTTCCCAGCGACAGGCATTGGGCTACCATCAGATAGAGGATGATCTTTCAATGTCGCATCAAGAACCAGGAGCTCTTCAATCCAACACTGATCATTCAGACGTCGAAGCATATTTCCCAAAGCTTTTGGGAGCGAAGCGTCCCGGTCCTTCAGAATACTTATTGTCATCACCGGCTGTCACTCGACTTCGAGTCGGAACTCAAGAGGACACTCAGGTAAATCATGCAATCTCCAATCCGCCAGCCCCGTCCGAGCTCCGCAGGGGAGATGATAGCATGAATGAAATAGCTCAAACGATGCAGACACAGGTCATATCCCAACCGGTCGGTTCGGATTCAGCAAGTCGTGGAAAGGCAATTGCCACGGCGAGCACCGAGACCGCCAATCCTACACCTTCCAGAAGCTCTGAGTACCATTTTCCCAACGAGTGGACTAGTCACCCACCCAGGAACATTGCAAGCGTATCGAGTTCTGAGCCAAATGAAAGCTCCGAGGAAAACCTCGAAAACGAGCTGCCAAACCTGAGGTTTACGCGAGACGTCCTTGTTGATGAGAATGCAACCGGAAACTATGGGACGCAAGCCTACAAAATCGAAGAACTCTTCGATGAACTTGGACAAGAAAATCTAGTTCTGCCTGAAAATGAAGTTGTTAAACATATCGCGTGTTTCTCTGGACGCACAAAAGTAAGTACTCAACAAGCATTAGTTAGAAAAGGAGCACCAGGAAGCCAAGAAGCAGAAAACGAGATGGGGCCCACACTACTTCTGAAGGAACATTACACCACTGGTAGAAAAAAGTCGGGCAAGACTCCGACAAGATATTCACTCTCCAAGGGCACAAAATCTTCGTTTTGGACTCATAAAGAATTGTGGTATAACTATTGGATAATGAAAACAGGCGTGGACTTTCGCAAGCATAACAAAGATCTTCAATGTACTGAATTGCTCGAAATTTTCCCCATGTACTTATTCTTTGTGGAGATGATTACGACTATAATACCCAGAGCGGAAAACAGACAACTAAGCCAGGCCCGTGAGCTATCCTTGGCGTGTCACTCGTTTTTTGAGTTATTGGGCGGAAGATTCGCTGGCTCAAAAAAAGAGAAATACGCAGCACTTCAACAGCAAATTCTCAACTATTCCACCTCTCCTACTTACTTCAAGCTGTGGGCATTTTTGAGCTATTGGATTGACATCAATCGAGCAAGCTTAATGTCTGCAGTCTCGCCCGAAAAAGGTTATATACCCAACTATTTTAAAACATTTTTTAACACTATTTTCTACATCTCTATCGAGCATTTCCATAAAATTTATAAAAAGCTCAACTATTTCCCAGTACACAGGGAGAACTAAATGTTGTATTTTGAACATGATACCAGACTTTTTTTCACTCCCCAATCAGATCTTCTTAATTTTTTGCTATCATCTTTTTTTGAGATTTAAAAACCTTTAGCCCGTTCTTGGGTCAAAGAATTTCTAGAATCCATTCAAGGTCAAGGCGCTTTGAATAGACTACATACTTGACTTTTTTTAGATTTCAGTATATTCTCTTTGCAATTCTCTATGTTTGTGCTTCTCCAAATTTTTCCAATCCTATACCTAGCTGGATTCAGTTGGATTGGTTAATGATCCACTTGCATGGAGCTGAGCTATCTATAGTTCTGACACATGTATCTCCAGGAGGGCATGAAATACATCAAAAAGCAAACTGAATAAAAGAGTGCAATATGTAAAATTGAAATCATTGAGATAGAATTAATACAGAACCAGTGTCCCCAGGTGACGGAGATCAGGCAGCTTTCTACACCAGGAAATTTGGTCAAAACTTAGTAAAAACCTTGGTAACAAAAGTACACAATCTCATCGAGAAGCCCTTTGATTTGTGATTTGAAGCTCTCTCTGAAAAAAAGGTGATCAGTGCTACTTGACCAATCTTGGATGAAACAGTTTGAATGTATTATTTAGACGCTCTGCACCCACGGGGCCATATTGTTAGCCAGGTGACTTGTTCGGCCGGATGTCGAGTTCGGGTAGTACCGTGGATAAACCGGGTGAAGTGCGCTCTAGTTTCAGCTCAGTTGACCAAGCACCACTCCGACCAGCCAACAACCACCCAAGCGCACGATGGACCATTTCAATCAACCCACGATTGGCACAGCCTCATTCCTATCATGTGTGGCCAATCTTTCGAACACGATCCTGGTCAGTTTTTACATCATTTTCTTCAGACAGAATGAGGCCCACAAATTGATTATTTTCGGATTAATAATAAAATAAAATGAGGGTACTGGCATGTTAGCCATGGCACATGGTTTCGCACAGGGAGGTCTCATCATCGGCTTCATCACTGTTGTCATTTGTGGATCGATGGCCTACCTGGGATTATATCTTTTGTCGTTATGCGCTACCCATCCCTCGATTCCCCATCGGACCGCATCCTTTTCAGCAATCTCCAAATTCACTTATCCCCAGGCCTCAACCTTATTTGACTTGGCTATCGCTATCAAATGCTTTGGAGTCTCGATATCGTATCTCTTGATCTTTGGTAAATTAATGCCCCAGGTCAGCCCTGTTCTCCTCCTGTCTTCAATTCTCAGATCTATCTCTTCATGATACTATCTAGTTAAAGCTTTGACTTTCTTCTCCCCCCAGGTCATCTTAAGTTTCCAATCAACAATTACCTTAGCATTGATTGACGACAACACTGAAACTACGCTTTGGCTTCTTGACCGAAGGTTATGGATCACACTATCGATGCTCGTCCTCGTTCCGGTCTCCTTCCTACCGACCCTAGATTCTTTGAGGCATATATCTTACGTGGCTCTAATTGGTGTCTTCAACTTGATTATTGTCGTGATCTTCAAGTTCTTCTTTTCATCTGATCCGCTACCTTCAAAGTCTTCTGGAGCCGAAATTCATTGGATCAAGCTCGATCCTTCCTTCCTCACTGCTTTACCCCTCTTTGTTTTTGCGTACGTTTAGGTATATCTCATTCTCTTTTCCTTCATCGTCTCACTTTCAATCATTTTCATTTTTCCTTCACAATCATTACTGACCATTGAAAATGGCTTTTTCCACTTTGCGTGGGATGAACTTGATCTCGCAAAAGTTACACATGTGCTCAAAATATATTTTCAGTACACAATGAAATGGTTGACGTGAGTAATCTTCTCTTCACAATTCTATGCTGCTTACTTTTCTTTTTTGGCTCAATTTTTAAACTGATCTTAAAAACATACGCCCTTTACTCTCTTCCCACACAACGATTTGACAAATAAAAATAGAATTCACCTCGTCAAATGAAAAATGTTTTACTCACATGTATTGGGAGTGCCGTTGGAACGTATGAAATTGTTGGAGTTTTGGGATATCTTACATTCGGCTCAAAGGTAATTCTTTTCGACTTATAGATGCGGAAGAATTAAACGCCAACTTCGGACTCATTTGATTTACTGCAACGAAACAAAAGGTCTCTTCGAACCTGATCTCAGATTATGAAAGCTCGGTTTTCATCTCGATCTCAAGGTTGACGATCTCGATTCTAGTATTATTCTCGTATCCCTTGCAGCTTTTTCCCTGTCGGAGTTCGCTCATCAAAGTTCTGAATTACCAACGAAATCAAGATCGTCCCCCGAAACTCCCCCATGATCCCCTTCCTACTACCAGTCAAGCTCTGGAACGCGAAGAAGATATTGAAGACTCGGGAGAAGTTGAAGAAGCGGGTGTGCATTCGACAGACGAACCGATATCCATCAAGCTTTATGTGGGCATCACTGCTTTTCTTCTACTGGGAAGCTTTCTTATCGCGGTTAATGTTGAAAGATTGGAAACTGTTGGTCATCTCAATTTAATTGTGTTACATTCTCGTAAATGATATCAAAAAAAGAGACGTTGAAGTTGACACTTCCTTTTTGCTTCTCTTTTTTTTCGTAAACAAAAACAAAGGTTCTTGGATTTGTGGGGTCAACCGGTAGCACCACAATTTCATACATCTTACCAGGTTTATTCTTTCGCAAATTGTTCCCGGCCGGACGGTCTGGCTTACCATCAAGTCCAGATCTGGCCAGCAACCCTGAGCTAGATCGCTACTATGATCACAACCAGACGACCGAAGAAGGGGAACAACAAGGAGCGGAGGAGCTTGCCAACATTCTACGTGAACGTCAGCAGGTCGAGGACTTGATTGATCCTCACGAGCTCGTCGTCTTGAGGAAACTCTCATTAGCTCTTGTCGTGGCCGGGTTTGTCATCATGATCGTTTGTTTTAGCTTAAATATCCATGATGCTTTCTTTTGATTCCACAGTGTCAATTATCTTCATACTTCTATCAAAAAATTGTACACACTAAACACATGTCTCCCAGCATGCTTTCTCGTTTTTCTGATATGTCATATCATTTGGGTTCTAGTTCGTGTTGCAGTTGTACATAGTGTGGGCTTGTTTTTACAATCATGATCTTGATTGCTTTGCATTTTTGTTGATTATGTATTTGTTCGTCCATGTGCAGTCATCTGGTGAGAGTCTTCAACTTTCGTCAACCGCCCGATCACCATTATAATATCACTATCATCACAGATGATAAAGTGTCCTGTTTCTCCAGTCCGTCAATTGTAGCATTGTATTATTTTCAGGTTGCCATCAAATGCGAAGGTGTACAAACCCGATTTAAGCTATTTACTCGATCCCATCGAGACTTAGCCAGTGCAATCTTTCATTATAACACCCAAGGAGTGACCCACATATCTGCTTCTGCCACCTCCGCAGGATTAGAAAGCCCGCGAGGAAAACAAAAGACACAATGCCTCATTTCATCATTCTTGGTGTGTTGAATAGAACGGGAAATACTCATGATCCTGGAGGCTTTGAAGAAGTTGAAAGGCACTCCGGAAGAATGATGAGCTTCGAGTTGTACTTCTCTCAAATCTCGCCTGGTAAATAGTAACAGGAATTAAGGTTGTGAAAATGATTGGGCGTCTCTACTTTCTTAAGTTGCAGATTAGTTGATGCCAACTGTAACTCCAACCATTAGTCTGACAAAAGAAGATCGAGGTCAATTTTTATTGCAAAGTGATGTGGGAGAGAATGACACAAAATGGTTGGCAGAAGTAGACGGGATGGTCAGGATGGAGAGGTAGCAAGCAGGTTAAACTAATCAAACAGAGGGTCGGATGGGCTTTCTTTTTTTTTCTTCAGTTGATTCCATTGTACTTTGAGGTTTAGGAGTACACTGGAAGAGGTCGATCATATTTCACGATCAGTAGCCGCCTATGTTAGGCCCGCTAAGGATTGGACGCGCGCAGCTTCTTCGTCTCCGAGCAGGCTTCTCAGGGTCTCATGTTGGATGTTCTGAGTGACAGTACTGTAGAGTTCCTTTTGAAGTTTCCTCCATTCGTCAAGCTGGTCTTGCGCAACTGGTGCAGAAGGACAAGGCCCAAGCACCTTATTATCCAAGTGCTCGATAAATTGACGAGTGAGCTGCTGGAACACCGGTATGTTGAGCGAGACGGATCGAGAGACTAGAGCCGGGATGAGTTGGAACAGGAACGGCATCCAGAAGTCTCGCATGTCATCAGCAGGGAAAGTAGTGCACTGTGCGTTGATTTCTTGGATAAACGGCTCGAGTAGACTGGGCCCATCAGTGCTCTGGAAGTCATTGAGATCGCAGGCAAATTGAATCAGACCATGTGGAGTGACGGCCCAGAGATGGGGCCGGTGGGCCCATCGTTGATTTGTTGGGGTACTGATGTCAGAGAGCCTTTTCTGCCGATTAAAAACACCCACGCTAAGGCTTCTGAAAAGTTCGATGTTGCCGGAATTGGGGAGATGTGAGGCTGCTGCTGGAGTCTTGAGCCAGGAGAGTAAGCCGAGTAAGAAAGCAGTCGCACGTACGTGCGTAAACCCGGCGAATATTGATGTGAAGCTAAGCAGGTTGAAGCAAAGCAAAAGTCCGAAATGTTGCAGATCATTCCTTCAACATATTATAATTCTATGACAAACACTTACCGTGCACTTATTGTCGCCTCATCAAGATAGACGAGGGTAGAGATAATCATGTCTACGTCTAATGTAGTGGGTGATTGGGTGGTCTTAATAAAGGTTTCAATGCATTGACCCATTTGGTCTTGTGCCCAGATGCCCATGCTGGTGAGTACTGCATTGGGTACAGTGGCTTCACCGGTTGGGTTGGTCGCCATCTTCGTAATAATTCTGATACGATCTTCCATCCATGAGATGGGTTGAATGACTAATGGTAACCTGTCGAGCATGGAAACTAACCAAGCATTAGTTGTTTGATGCGACTCACTAAAAAGAACAAGGTGTCTGTCATACTGACTTACCATGTTTGGTACTTTTCAGTGCGGTCTTGCTCTTGAAGCTTATCAAGCCGCGCTTTTGCCCAGTCAAAAAAATCAACTGGCAACTGATCTTGGTGGTGAGTGACGACAGCCTGAAATAGTTTGTGGTGGTTGTGATTCAGAGCAGTCTTGAGGAGCTCAGTTATTGAGTCCCGAATGACAACCCGTCTGGACTTTTCTTTGAAGAGGGTGGCCAAGGCATCAAGTAGTGGTAGTGGATCTGAAGGATGGGCAAAAATGTTTTTTAGGTAGCTTAAGATTGAGTCGAAGTTAGCTTGGGATCCTGGGTATCGCGTCGCGCACGTAACCAGAAAATTCACAAAGCGGTGATCGCGTGGAACCATGACAAGAGCAGAACGCCGATAAAAATGAGTGGCATAGGGGCCCTGGAGTGGAGGTGTGGATAGGTTTCCAAATCAATTAATGTTAAGGTCTTTTGTGTTTCTTATGACCTCTATTGGTATCTCTGCTTGGTCAAGAATACAGCCTAGGGAGGCACATACCTCATTCCCCATGTAAGATTCGTATTCTTCTTCAGTAATCTCCATTTCATCAAAGGGATCGTCCACCAGGCAAAAGCTCCTGTCGAAGTAGTAGTTACTCGCAATGGTGGTGCCATCGAGTGTACGAAGTGACTTGACGGTATAGATGATATCGCGCACATCGGTTATTTCGTGAATGGTGCTTGCTTCCTCGTCTTCAAGCTCGGCAATCTCATCATCTCCGGGGCCATAATTGTCATACAGATCGGGGTAGTGAAGATCAACATCTCCATCCTCTTTTTTCTCTAATAACGCCAAGAATATTTCGAAAGGGCGTTGGAGAGCGAGATCTTGTAATGCTCGTACCTGCGCCCAGTCTTTGGTCTTGAGTGTTCTTGCGGACATGGAAGCTTCGGTGTATTCGTGATCAAGGGCATGGTAGAGGTGACTCGGCACGTGGGTGGCATTGTGATCAGCCGAGTCTCGAAGCCAGCATTCTAATGCATTGCGGAGTGGAACCTTTTGCAATTCGAGTGCAGCAGCTGCCGGTCGGGTTTGATCAGGGCAGGTGGCCAGGTTGAAAGTCAAGACGCATCGGTAGCCGGATTGGACGGGAAGGACCTCATGAGACACGTCCGAATACCAGCAAGCAAAGGACTGGGTCGCGTCTGATGTTCTCAGAATCATAGAATCGCGATTATGCCTGACAAGAACTTCTCCGCCGGTGTGAGCTGAGGGTAAACAGATGATGAGAGTTCCAAACATGCCGGGAATCTTTTCAGTGCTGACCCCGTCAACAAACAAGAGCTTCCTAATGCATTAGTTGCTAGTCTGAAGACCATGAAGCAAAAAAAAGAAACCGAAATAAAAGTAATAACTCTTACTCGGTGTGCGCTTTGAACATGGCCCCCTTTTCATATATGAGCATTTTGTAAAGCTCGGCTCGAATTGGCCCCATGATACCTAGTTTGCTTGCGACGGTCTTGCTTAACTTGAGCAGATAACCTTGCCAAGCCGGATCGAGGAAGGACAACTGATTGCCATTGATCTCCCAAGTGTTGCGGACAGACAGGTCAACAAGTGTCTCGCTTCTGTGGCCATACGGAGCCTGATGCGCTTTAGCGATAAGCTCTCGAATCTGTCCTTCACTGAGAGGCATGGCGATCTGTCCAACTCCATCGACGGAAAGCCCAGCTGGCGGAGTTGTCGGAAGTGCCTCCCACGCAGCAAATGAGCCGGGAGTGGTGATGGCCGCGAAACCGTTGATCAATTCCGCTCTCAGGTTGGCTTGATAGTCGGTTTTGTTTGTCATGACTTGAGGCGGTATGCTGAAAGAGTGCCAAGTTTGCTGAAGGGCGTCCTGGAACGCAGAAAAGAAGAAGCAATGGGCACCGGCAGGAGGGCCGATATCCGGACCCGGACACGTATTGTTTGGTCTTTCTTAAGTGTGACTGGTGTGGTACATAGTCAGCTTCTGAAATGGGTGAGGAACTTGTCGTATGCATGCAGGCAGACAGTTAACGGGAAGAATCGTCGCCAGGGTGCTCGGGTCTTTGTACAGTCCGAATCCATGGACAGGACCATCACGAATGGATCAACGTTGGTCACTACTCGTCACACATATCCTGCTACTTCCAAGAATTTCAACTTCTCGGACCACATTAGTCCAACCGGGGCAATTCTACGGCATCAAGTCGAGTGGAACATGAGCCGAGCTGTCTGTGGCAGAGCTGCTGTGAACGGGTCGCCCACCGGCGGGCCGGCAGTCATCCCGCTCATTTTCAGCCGCTCCGAGTCCCGACTCGACTCGTCAACTTTCAAGAGCTGGCCAGCCCACTTCGCATGGGGATTGAATTCAATCGGCCAACATTTCAAACCCCGGTCCCCATCTAAGCAGTCATCTTGCCACATCGATGACACAAACCCCAGGATCACATATTGCCAGACTACACACAGCTTGGATTGATCAGAGCCAATAAGAGTGCCGCAGCTGAAGCCCGAGTTCTAGACGGTTCGAATTGTTTGTGGGCCCATGGATAAGCGGCTCAACGAGGAGCCACACGCCACCCGGCAAATCTATCCTGTCATTCAGCACCCCTTTCCCCCCTGATGTTCCCTTTGTCTATGTATGGATTGGGACCTGGAAATTAGTCCGCCAACCCGGCCCTGTCTAAAGTATACATTCCTGGATATCTGACATTGAGTATGTAAAGCCCTTTAGAGCTAAGAGCTTTCTTGATAAAGATTGGCTCTCTACAATCTTCTGTTTGTCAAACTGGAAGCTTCTTTCCAATGTAGGGTGGATGTCGGAACTACGTAGCAGGTAGCGCTGAGGCGCATCAGTACCGGGAAAACTGCACTCCTATTGCAAATCGGCTTGTATAGCGAGCCTAACAACAGGCCTCTCGAGTGAGAGCTCAGAGGGCAGCCCGCAAAGGTCTCTGTCTCACAGAGAGAGAGGATGGAACAGGGGCTTGGAGTTTAGTTCGCTTGTATAGGCTTGTATGTATCATGGCTGTTTTACATCTTGGAATGGAGGTAGCTTCGAGTCAATTAAAAGGAACCAGAAAACAGTGTTTTTGTGTGGCACTGGCAGGGACCCTCCTCCCCCCCCCTCATCTAAAATCATTTGTTCGTTGCAGATTTCACTAAACCGTCACAAGAAAAACACCCCGTCTAAAATTATGAAATTGAGCAATAGTTCAACTCTTCTTTGGGCCTTATGCCTCGCCCCAAGCTCTCACTGTCGTTCCCGAAATGATCGAAAACACTTCTGGCGACGCGAGATAAAGATGGCTGTCGAACCGCAATGCGGCGGCTTCAATTCGCAAGGATTTGTGAACTTTAATGGGGGCATCAACTTTGCTCAAATCAAGGTACATACTCAAGCAAAACCTCTCATGCGGCTGGTTTTTTTTATCATCTATTGTGAATTGATGGATGGGTGAGGGCTGATGATTGTTAAGGTTCTTGCAGACTATCTATAGCTTTGGCGATAGCTGGAGCTCCAATGGAAGATACGATGGTAGTCCTGCCAGTCCAGCTGTCCGTCAAGACACTAACCCAATGTATGGAAGGTGAGAGCACGGTTCCTTGTTGTACCTAGAGCGTAATAAGCTGATAGCTACTCTGGCCTTTGTTACTGTACAACAAGACGGGCAAGCAATGGCCCCATGTGGACTGAGTTTCTGGCTTCGAATCAACGCACCTTGAGGAACTACGCCATCGGTGGTGCAACAGTCAATCATCACCTGTGGAAGGCACGGGTACCTTACTGTTTTCCCCTGTCCAATGATTTTCCTGATTGGGATGTGTGGCCCTGTAAAGTGCTCATAACCCCACTCCTGTTGGCTTAATCTTCAAAGGCAATGAAATCGGACATGGTTGGCCAAGTGGATAAGTTTCTAAGCCAGCGCCTTCCCATTGATACTGAGTCGTGAGTTTTGCCAATTCCTTCTGACCACCTCCTCAAATGTCTATGTGTTGTTGACAGAATTGTCTTTCTAAGAAGCCTGGCCACCATATTCTACGGGATCAATGATTACTCGTCTTCCGCCGAAGGGCCAGGGACATTAGAGCAAGCAGCCGGCTGGCTCTTGGAAGAGACGGAACGATTGATTGGAGCTGGATTGAAGAAGTTCATTGTGGTCGGTACGTGTCATCTACATGAGTTGATTTCAAGATCTGGTTTATGATGGTAAAAAGATTGGCTCCGGATAAGCTACAGTCTTCATAAAACTTAAACACACTGATTTTTTTCCTTTTCTTTTCATTTTTTTTCTGCTTGTTCATAGCACCATATTTCAACAGATCTCGAATAAATAACTTCAACAATATTGTCTGGAATGGTTTCAAAAATCTGAAGCAATCACGACGAGGGATCAAGTTTGCATACATAGATCTGAGTGCTCTCTTTACGGCTATCTACGCCAATCCCAGCTCGTTTGGGTAAGTGAACTGAAATTCCTATGCATGCCATGTTCGACGAGCTATGTCTATTGATGTAACTTGATTTGCACGGTACCTTATGTTCTAAAGATATAAATCCACCGGAGCATGTCTGAAATCAGCTACAACAACGGTTGGAGGATGTAGTAATCCGGATGAGTATTTGGTGAGTGAACCTTTTTTTTTTTCTTGGGAAACCTTCTAGCTACATCAACAGGGGCTGGACAATTACCTATGAGCCTTCTCAAACTTTCTTAGTATTGGATTCCAGCCCATCCTCAATATCAGACCCAGCGCTTGGAAGCCGACTGGGTTCGCGCTGTCTTGAACAAATGTCAAGGATAAGGTACCAAAATTCCATAACAGACAGTCTGCAGAGCCCAAAGATCTGAACAGCCAAGGGTTTGTATTTTTATTGATAATAAATTATTGTTAATCCAAGTGTTATTTGCTAGACAATGAACTAGTTTGAAATTTTAAATTGAACAGAAGTGTCCAATAGTCAGTTGAAGCCATTGTTATTTGTGGAGGTGAACAAGTTAGATCATTCAACAGAATATACATGTATCATTGGAGCCCTCACGGATTAGAGGTTACACACCTGTGGACACATATCACCAAGCCAACACCAACGGTGGGCCACTACGCTAACTGTAGCAGTTAGTGCAGTGTAACATAGTGGAATTACGCTAAAATGTAGCGTAGCATAGCGGAATTCCTCCACATCCACACTAACACTACACATGCAGGCCCTTAAAAAGTGCCCACTACACTGCACTCATGCACCTGTTAGTGGTTGTCAGCAGCCCGCAGCGCAGCAAAAAACAGCTAACTTTTTGATAACACCACATGATTTTGGTGTGCAAAAATTGGGGCAAAAAGCGTAGCAGTCCAGTGTTGCTAACACTCAGTCAAACACCTGTCACAAGCCGCAGGTCACTTCCCAGTTATGCTTATACACATCTCATGGTATACACATGAATTTCCTCACCACTTTATCTCCACTGCAGCACTGGGCCGCTACCCTACACTTTTGGCCCAAAAAGCGTTAGCGTAGCGGTCCTTTTTGCGCGCCAAATATGTGTAGTGTTAGCAAAAAGTTAGCAACTTTTTGCTACGGGCCACTAACAGCCGCTACATGGCCAAAACACCGCTAACCAGCGTGTTACATAGTGCAGCGAGCGGGCCCCTTTTAAGGGCCTGCACGCGTAGCGTTAGAATGGACATGGCGGAATTCCGCTATGCTACGCTAAAGTTGAGCGGAATTCTGCTACATTACGCTGTGCTAACTGCTATGATTAACGTAGCTGGCCCAGAATTGTCCACTGCATATATTAGTTTGGTCTATTTGTCACCTGCATGCACTGCCTCTGCAGGCTGGTGCAGTCTATAATGAATTACTTTTCAACAGTTTGAGATTTTTCAGGACCCTGGAAAGCCCCCCCCCATGGGGGGGAGAATGTTGGAAAAGGTATGGCAAATGGTCAAAAATCCCAAAAACCTGCTCTTGGGAAAAATTGAAAAAGGTATGAATTTGTATTTTGTACCAAAAACATACTGTTGAAATTGAAACTGGTCAAGACCAGTCAACTCTGGAGTTTGGGCCCCAAACCCAGGAGTTTGTTGGGAAAACCCCTTTTTTGGGAGGATTTTTGGCATAAGCATACTCTTGAAAAGGTATGAATTTCCCAAAAAATATATATATATACGAAATCTGCCAAAATCTGGACTTTTTCAACACCCCCCTCTTGGGAAGCTTGTCAGGGTCCTGGTTTTTTTCCCACATTAATTATGACAACAGCTGTATTTTTCCTGCAATTTATTGCATCATTTCACATTCTCTCATCTCATTTATACACTCCAGCACAGCCTTTGAAATTAATTATACACAGCCTCATCAGCCTCACTTCAGCAAAAGGGTTTCACAACCTCTTTTGAGTCTTACAACGTTAATGAGCTGACTGTTGCAGTCTGACAATTGACTAGCAGAAGCCGCCACTGGCATGGCCTCAATCCTCCAAAAGAAAGAGAACTTATCTTTGTCGCTGGCCCCCAAAATGTGTGAATATGCACATCTGGAACACTGAGAGAAACAACTTAAACTGAAGATCCTCAAAATTGAACTCAAGAATGCGGTCAATGAGGCCCAGAGACATACTTATTCTGTTGCTTTTGGAAAGGCTAAGATGACGCACAACTTCTTGAGGTCTGGGTTGGACTATAATCAAGCTATGCAGGCTACTCTTACCTTTCTTGAACCACCCTACTTAATGACCACATTGGTCACCATATCATTGCAATCAATTTGTTTTTTCAAAAGAAAAAGAAAAAGAAAAACTTGTCTTTGGTTGAAAGATGGTCAGATGAAATAAAAACACATGATTGATCCACTATTCCAAATCAATCTGTCAAGTCTCACAGGGATTGATGAAAAACTCCTTGCCTTTTTTGTTTGAGAGGGAAAAAAAAAGAAGGAAAACAATCAAATTGCCAACAATGATGTGTTTTTTCAAGAAAAAGAAAATTACTTCATCATTGATTATTGGTCCTACTGATTATCCTCCTTCTTTGAATACCACATCTACCCCCCCTCACAGTTTGACTTGGATATCACTTTATTACATCAATCTACACATCTTTTGCAGAAGGGTAACAATTCAAAGAACAGTAGGAGTAAGAGTTTTGAAGGCAAAGCTGGAAAGAAAGAAAAAGAAAGTGATAATCTATTTGAGTGCATGACTGAGTGAGATCAGAAGACAAAAGGGATGATAGATTTCCAATGAGAGGGGACTTGTCCCTTGAACTCTTGGCGATAATTTTTCAGTTTCTTAGCCGACCAAAGCGCCATCTGAATGAAGCTAATCAAGCTGAACAAACAGCCCGCCCAATGGAAGCCGACCATGGCGGTATAGGAAAACCAGGCCAGGGTTTCGAAGGAATAGTTCGGACAGCAGACTAAACTGAATCCGTAGCCTCCGAGCGGTAGCGATCTCTTCTTGCTTCCGGCTGGCCTTAGTGATCTTAGATGTAAATGTACTAGGAGATTTGAGATTTCTGCAAACTGATGTGTTTTGTTATGGGAAAGGTAGCATATCAGAATTGAGGTTTTCTTGACCACAGACAGATAAAGTTCATTTTTTTCTTCATTTTTTTACAAGGTAAGAGAAGAGAAATAGACTTACGGCCCATACGGCCGACCACGCATATAGCCACACCGATGAGTCCAGCAGACTTCCTTGAGTCTTGACCGCCGAAGAAGCATGTCCATAGATCGGACCGGCGAGTAGGAACCCTGAGAGAACCCAATAATGAAACGAGCTGCGTTCATGACAAAAAAAACACATACGAGGAAAACGAAAACCGATCAGTGGTCAGATAAACATAGCTTCGAGGAAAATAGGTTGATGATGTGCTCACTTTTTGAAGATGTTTCGGAATGGCATCGTCGCATTTGAGAACCGATGTACACTGTTGATAACCACACCTTCCCGATCAGTTTCTTGGCAAAACATCGTGTACATAACACCGATTTCATGGACAAAGAATTTTTCCCCCTTACAGAATCGTCTCCAGTTCACGCTTCAAAAAATGAATCATGACCATTCCAAAAGCCAAACTGGGCAAAAACAAATGCCAAGATGATTGTTTTTTTTTTTTTGAAAAAAAGAAGGCAAAAAGTCAGATCATGGCTTCTCTGTTTCTTGTGATAACGTTTGCTTTGCAATGAAATCAAGATCTATTAGGAGAAGATGACGAACTTCTGTAATCGACTGTGATTGACGGGACCTCCATAGAGCATATTGGAGATCGGGTTTGATAGATAAAAGAGCGGGTGGATCAACAATGGGCCGAACTGTCAAAGACGGGGGGTGGTCCGATCCAAAGTGTTTGTATTCGGATTGAAAGGGGATAAGAAACGTGAGCACCATTTCTATGTTATCCTCAAGATGGAGGACTTCGATCAACTGACGTATTCGATCAAAAAGACCATCCTCCAAGCTAGAGAATTAAGTGTGAAGAATCGAAATCCAAGCAGATTCAATGTTCAGACGTTCCATGTATATGAAAATAATCAAGGAAATGTACGCAACAAATTTGTGGGCCAAGGTCTTTGAAGAGGATTTGGTCGCCCTCTTTCAAGCCATAATCGCCCAACGATTTCTGGGGATCATCCAACACTTTCTTGTCCGCTGTTGTCAATCGTTGTCTAGAAGGATCGAGCTATTTTTTTTTTTGTAAAAATCATTCAAAGATTCAGTGAAATGTCTACATTCTTTGTGTTGAAGGATGCTGACTGACCCGATAGGTAGAGTGGATGTATGCCTTGATGTCTTTGATACAAACTTGGGTGAACGAAGAGAATTTGTCGAGCTTGATTTCTGAGCTTTTGACTGGTTTGCTGCGAGAGTTCAAGTTGATCGAAACGGTCATGTTGGTAGCGATGGTAAGCGTCGATGATTTGTTTTCTGTTCGGTGCTAGTCGATCGGGAGTGGTTTTTCCTCGCTTTTAGGTAGGTTTTATGTTGGATTTCGAATGAGAAGTTGAGGAAGGAAAAGCGAGAGATGGGATGATAAAGTCAATCGACTGGGAAACCCCACCAGTTTGCCAAAGAACTTCGAACCCTGAAAACCGGACCTGGTGGGGGAAGTACAATGAACGAGCCCCATCTCATCAAGCCATCGATCGGAAGGAATAGTCTAGGAGCACTGAGCAGCGGTCAGGAGGCAAGACCACTTCTTGGTCTCAGCCATCGAATACAGATTGCAGGGTCGGCTCTGAACCAACGCTCGACCAACTCCTCAGGATGGCCTTCCGAAAACGAGAACTCAGTTCGTCAATCCGTTTTTTGCAAGCTCCGAATATAATGAAGCATCCGAAAATTGATGCCATTCCCACCAGGACCGGATGAACCTGAGGACGAAGACGAGGACGATCCAATCGACATGTTGTCTTCCAAATCAAGGACCAGCTCATACATGAAAGCAGGCCCGTCTAGAGACCCGTCTCAATCCGTGAGCTTACTCGTAATGCTTTCCTGTTCATCTTTTGAAGTCCGCAGCTTATTTTCAGCTAACACTGTATTCTCCCAGTTACTGAACCCGATCACGGATTTACCCCCAGCCGAAATCGAGCCAGTGACTCCAGCAAGGCATGTACACGTTAGCTTTTCGATTGTATATCAAAAACCAGACGATTGATTCATCCCCAAAATTGTCCCCAGCCCAGATCTAGATCTACTATTCAGTCGTTTTGGACAGCTTCGTCTGGCGAAAACCAAGTCGAAATCTCACCAAAGGAAATGGCCGACAACTCTAACGCCAGCCCAACAAATCGTTGTCCGTGAGGCCTCTAATCACTCCCAACTTGAAGTGGATCCACATCTTCTTGAGAGGATTCGCACAACTGACTCACGAAACGAGACTTCATATCTCTCAGGTTGATGAAGGCTTACGACCGAATAATAAAACCGTTTACGATTTACCAGGCGCGAGTTGTGGAATCAAAGAGCTTCAAAAGTTATCATCACCCCCGCAATGGCTCAATGATGAAATCATCAACTTTTACGGCTCCTTGATCAACCTGAAGTCTCACGATCAAATATCCTCAAAAGCTTTGAACGTCCACTGTTTTTCTAGCTTTTTCATGAGCCAATTCGATCTAGGTGGCCATTCAAGCGTTAAGAGGTGGACTCGCAAGGTCAGCGTTAATCAATTTTTTGAATATCTCCCCATCAATCAACCTGAAATCCCATTAATGATTTGGCTTGGTCTTGTTTTTTTTTCTTCAACGTTAATAAAAAATTACAATACACATGGCTTCTGTGTAGATCAATCTTTTCGAAAAAGACCTGATCCTCTTTCCCACAAATCTTTCCAATCTGCATTGGGTTCTGGGTGTGATTAACAATCGCAAGAAGAGGTTTGAATACTATGATAGTCTAGCTGGACGGAATCCTGACGTTCTTTCGGTACGTGATAGACCTGTTCAAAAATCACAGTATGAAAGCAATGAGACAGAAAAAATTGATTATGTTTTTTTTCGCAGAAGCTAAGGAGGTATTACCAAGACGAATGGCAGGCTAAAAAGAGTGAGGATGTAGACTTGACTGAGTGGTCTGATTATCATCCTGTGTGTAATCCATGAGGTTCATTTCACGCACTTCTTGAAAGCGTATACCAATTGCTCACTCAATCATTTTACCACTTCTAACAAAACAAACAAACAGAAAGTCCCCTTGCAGTCAAACAGTTCCGATTGCGGTGTATTTGTTTGCCAATTCATGTATAGTCTGAGTCAAAATTTAATCAACATAACTTCCCAGGAAGGAAGGGATGTGTCGCTCTTTGATTTCTCCGCTGAAAACATGCCTTATCTCAGGCAGAAAATGGTATTGGAGGTGAGTTATGTTGCTCATTAGCTTTGGGATTCATTTGCTTCACTTCTTTTTTGTTTGGTTGTTCTGATCTTTGACTCATTTTCACATTGATTTGATTGCTCTTCATGTCAAAAAGATCATTAGAAAATCTTTTCTTCCTGATATCACCCCGGAGAGCCCTGACTAAGCCGGGTCATGTTATGTGCATGTAGCCCTAGAACTGTTGATTTTCTTATTTTTCGTTTTTTATTTTTTTGAAATATGATGCTCATGAAGTTTGTAAGCTCGATCCCTAGATCTAAGCCGAATTCTTTTGTTTTTCTTTCGTCGTTCTTGGCGTAAATACATCACTCTGCTCTTTAAATCAGTCCTTGCGTTGTGACCTTCTGCACAAGGCAACAAAAATATATTCCCTCGCAAAGTCGCGCCCTCTATTGACCGTTATTTATAAGCGCCGATGTGAATTAGATGCTTGTAATTGTGACTTTCTAGCCAAAAATCAGATGTCGCATACCACATCTTTGCGAGGTCTCCTGTTTCCTGATCTTCTCTTGCTTTACAACATATTTATTTGCGTGAAACTTGTGAAGGACCCCTTCATTGTACCATCATACGTATTCTCAATGTGGGCCCTGTACCAAACAGTTTCTTGCCAAGGCAACCCTTTTCCCGGTCAGAGTGCCTTGTTCATTTGCAGACTCCACGAAGCAAATGTTCATGATTCGATGACCTCTATCTGAGGGCAATGCCATACCAGCGATGTGTACCTCATATCCATGCCTGACTCACAAACACAGTGCATTCCCTGGTGTCCACGAAGCGCTCAAGTGATCTTGCCTCCCGAATCCGGCCCGGCGATTTTATCTGACTGTGAAACGTCTTCCAACAGATTGCTTTTCTTCGCTTGCCTTCCTTCTATAAGGTGAATTCTACATACCTAGGGCTGTGACTCTTGTGAACTTGAGACAAAGAAGAGCGTTACAGCTTCTGTTACCTGTTTCTCGGAATCTGAGCAAGACTTGCCATCAGTCTCAAACTAAACATATGTGGTCCAAGGCAGCATCTCCTTAAAGATAGGTTCCCTAGGGTTGCCTCCCTGGCAAGGCATCCACCCCACCATCTCCGCAAATTCACTCTTTTTCAGTTGGCACAAGCGGCAACCATCAGGTTAACAAGTTCGAAAAAGCTACTACATCTGCTCCAACCGCTTGCTCCGCGCCCTAATTATATATTAATATCCAAATTTCCAAATCTAACCATAGAAGACATGGTCCGACGCTCATTAGTACAAACCACATATTCAGCAGAGCTATGGCTATTACTTGCTTCCTCTACGTTTCTGAATCCGGTCACCGCGACTGTCAATCCTATTCTGGCTGAATCATCTCACCATTCGTCCAGTCTTACTCGGCGCAACCTCTTTCCATCGTCTGCCGCCAGCAACCCTGCACCGACCACCGTCCAACCTCAGGCTGCTGGTACTCCCCCAAGCAATTCCGCATGCATTCAGCCACCAATTACCAATACCACATGGATCCAACTGGGCATAGACAACTATCTAGCTAATTTGCCCAACGGCGCCTCTTTAAATCTCCAGGTAAGCTTTAAATTTGGGTCCTATCGGCTTGCTTGAAGCTGGACTCACATTCATCTCTCATGTCTTTCCCCAAAAAGCATTATGCAGCTTCGGTTGGAGCTCCCGATTTCATCTGTGGCATAGGAGAGAAGTGTCAGGCTGGCCAGGTAAATCTTTATCTTTGTACTCGGTACTCCTTCTCCAAACTGATGTCGATACAACAGCTGTGCAGCCCAGTCCAAGCACCCGGGTGGGAAGTTCTAGTTGCAGCGCAAGAGTGGAACAATTATCAGAACAGATTTTATGAAGCAGTAGGTACCGCAGTTCAAATGGTCACATGTAAGCCACTTGTTTTATTGGGGTACTACATGCACCGACTGGCCAAAGTTTTTCTTACTATGGAGACCTGCATCTTTGACCAAAATCCTTTTCGCAATTCACAGCCATTTCCAGCGCACTTGTGTCCGACTTGTAAGCGTACAATCAACCGCTATTACGGCTGCAGTAGCGAAGGACTTCGATCAGGATACTCACTGAATTTATGTCTAATAACAGGTACCCCCCTAATCACACCGGTGGAATATGGGATTTGTTCAACACCTTCAATTTGGCTTCTGGAATTACGGCCGGTATAGTTGGCATGTTCGCAGCATTCATCGGCCTCGAGGTTGTCGCTGCGACACCTCTTTCGCTCCTTGTCTTACCTGCCGTAGCAGTTGTCTTCGGTACCGCTGGCGTTATCTCAATGAAAGAAGCAGTGAAGCGTCGCGGACCCACTGCATTTGACAAAGTAAATCCAACACATCTAGTTCATGGCACGACAACCCACTCCGAAATCTGATAGTTTCTCTTGCCCAACAAAATAGTTTTCCGTCTACGCCTTTTACCTTTCCGAATGGCAGAAACACGCCCAGAAAGGCATCGCTAACGCCACCCGGAGTGTTATTGCTTCGGGCGTCAGTTCCCCTCAGGGTATATCAACGGTCTTGAAGAACGGTACCTTCTTTCACGAGCGCCCCAGCTTGAATGAAGCAGAGTTGGTCGCGAACCTTAAAAACACCACCACCGTTCGTATCTTGACGGATATTCTTAGAAGCCAAGTGAGTCAATTTTTCTCCTGGGGATCGCAATCAACAAATTATTGACTTTCCTCGAACCCAACAGAGAGCATTCGTCACGATCGCAAGTGTAAGCAGCTCCCAAACGCTCTACCATATCATCTTGAAACTCACCCTTTCTCCACCAACCACCTCCACGGTACTGATTCTATTCATAGGATAAATGCACTGGCAAGGGCCCAGGTGGAGCCTGGAAAGTACACAACAATTTGTCTTACTGCTCTCCCAACGGAACGTAAGTAGGGTCTGTCATCTCATCCCAAAGGCTATACGAGTCTGACTGAACTACCTGGGTCGTTTTCCAGGATGTTCAACATCATCCACGCGAACAAAAAGAAAGTTCATAACAAATGGTGGAATGCTGATCTGATTGCCCAGAAATACGGAATATCGGTACAATACCTGACCGAACAATCATACTTCTGTCAACTGAACCATGGCACGGCAAACTTTGACCCCTACAAATCTAGGTAAGCATACCAAACGATTCTGCTTGTGCTACCTCACCAATATCAACTGACCCGTATGTCTTTATAATAAAAGCGCGTTCCCCAAAGACTTGTCAGCCGAATGCATTTCGAACCTTCCGGTCTGTGATTTCAGAAATCCTGGTAAGTCGAAACTCGGTACTAGTTTGAAAGATCTGAGAAAGAAAAAAAAAAACTGACTGAGTCGCATGTATCGGTCCCTCAAATTAGACCTCGCCGAAGCCAAGAAAGAGAAGAACACGATTTACGCTTGTCGTAATATCGGGAAGCTTCCGATCTGAGACCTCGATATCGTGACCCGACCAGGCGCCCCGAGGTCATTTGGGAAGGGGTTCTGAACACCCATCCCACTTGGGGCGTGGGCTCAGCAGTGGGCACGTCAAAGACGCATGTTCCAATTCTTTCTTTTGTTTATTTTTTTTCCGGGGGGATAATGATTTTTTATATACGAACTTAGGGGCTTGAGGAAGGCAGTTGAACAGTTACTTTGTAGTCTCTTAGTCTTAACTCACCCAACAATTGTCATACAAAATATTGACTTTCATCAAACGCGCATAAAGACAAAGTGCGCTCATAGGGTAGCAACCCTGAAGTTTCTTGAGTCGTCCGTTCATGAGTAGATAGGGAGTCCACACGAACTGGCATTGGTTATGAAGTTGTAATAATAATTGACTTCTCAAGAAGAATCTGTTTACCTCGGCTGAAAGTTGAGAAAGCATTTGGGCATCCTGATCTTCAAAAACTTGATAAACTTTAGATACTTCTTTTTCTTCATTGATTCCCAATCTTTTAGATACTTCTTTTTCTTCATTAATTCTCAATCTTGGTTCGCATACGTCCTCATCCTCTTCATAAGACTCCGATCTCGAAGTTTTGATTCTTGCGCGTTGGATGAAATTGGTATTTTCTGTCTCTCATCCGTTGTATTTAATTTTGCCCTTCATCCATCAGAGTCTAGAAGAAACATGATTGAGGAGCTAATTGACTGTTGTTTTGTGTTCCACTGGGTCTTGAACAAAAAGGCGTATGTGAGGTGTTTGACTGGATCACCGCACCGCTTTGAGCAGGGGCAAGTATAGCTCTCACAATCTAAAAAACAAAACAAAAATGAGAAGCAATTTGCTTTCTCGTCTTCTTCTCACACTTCTCTTTCATCTAAATTTATTCACGACCACCGGAGGAAACATCGACCCTGCACATCTTCCCACGGGCCACAGTCTCGGAACCTCCCGGGCAATAAATCTCCGCGATGCCCCCGGACTGACATCCGGCGGTCGATTAGCTCAGTTGGTTAGAGCGCCGTACTAATACTTCGGAATACGATGCGATTCCGGCTCGGTACATGCGGATGTCATGGGTTCGACCCCCATATTGACCACTGCCAGGCACACTCTTCTGTCTATTGGGTTCCAAAGGCACCTCATAGGGAAAACAGTTTTGTTGGATGATTTCATTAGGATGTTCACATTTCAAAGATTTCAGCAAAATGTTTATGTGAAACCAGCAGAGCGCTTTGAGTTTGCATGCATAAAATTGGCCTGTGTGTCTGTCAAATTTGAAACCTTTTTTGAAGCCAGCAAGCAGGAATTTTATCCAAAATCAACAAGATTTTATTCAAATGTGAACTGTCCTACGACTATGAGGCCCTGAATTGAAGTTTTGTACATAATAAAAAAAAACAAAAAAATGGGTTGGCAAGCATGAAGCAAAAAGTTGACACCGATTGAAAGAATCTCCTGGAAAAAATGCTTGACTTGGTGGGTGAGAAAAGTGAGATGCCAAATTGAAAGAAAAACATTTTTTTTTTTTTAAGGAGTGGCAACTTGAAGTCTTGGCACATAAATTCCTCTGGGATGGCACCCCACCAATTAGAGGGACCTAGCTAAGTTAGGCTTCCACAGCACATTTAAGCTTTGTTATCATGATTTACATTTCCTTGTCATGCTTTGATGCTTGTTCTTGTTGAGGTTAAGCCTGCTAACATGATGTATCACCACAGTCTGGAGGTGCTGTGCAGTTGAACCTAGACCAGTAAGACCCAACTACCCTGGCAGCCACAAGCGTCTGTAGCCTAGTTGGTAAAGGCAGCACTCTAGTATGTGTCTCAGCTTAGCTGAGGTCGTGAGTTCGACTCTCACCAGACACATCTTCATTTTGTCTGTCTCTACAGGTTATGAGCCCAGATGCTTACCTGAGCGATATCTCGCTTTCAATAGAGACCGGTGTGGTGGCGGGAGCGCGCCTTGGCCAAAGCTTTGGCCGGTTTGTTTGGGGCATGCGGAATGCTCGCGGCGCTGATGCGGAAAGCACGCGGAGCTGACGCTACACAAGCGGGCTGAGGAAAGCGGCCGTGCATTAGTGGAAAGTCTAGCTTTCCGAGGCGCGGGAAAGCGGAGAAAGGTAGACCGAATGCACAAGGTTCTGAAAAGCTTACTGCGGGGAATTCGGGCATCGGCGGACGCCGGGGATCACGGCCGACTGCGGAACGGGGGTTCAGTGTATACTGCGGAGAGGCTACAAAGAGCGGGGAGCACCGAGGGGCAGAAGCGGGGTTCGGAGCGGACCAGAGGCAGAAGCGGCGGTGGGAGACCTGCTTAGGAGCGGCCGGAGGAGTACTTGGACCGACAGGCGTCGGAGGGGTGACATGCGGAGTCCGAGGGGGTGACAGCGGATGACATCGCGGGAAGTAGGAAGGGACTGGAGTGTGGGATACCTAGGAGGAGAGGAGTTCGAGGCAGAAGAGGAGAGAGAGGGGGGGGAGAGGACTCAGAACATATCAGAAAAACAGAGGGACTTAGGAGTGAATCGTGTATTAGCCTAAAGAATTGTTAGAGATAGAGTAGAGTTAGTGTATTACCTACAAAAGATCAATAAAAGAGAACTAGTTTACCTACCTACAAGACCATCAAGCAAGTTACCCCGGACAACAAAACCGGAGTAGGACGCGTTGCGGAGCGGAGAAGTGCAAGAAAACTCCTAGGGCGCGCCGTGCTTTCCACAAATTGGGGGTCTGGCCGGGAAACAACTTCCTTGGTCGAACGGTACGAAGAATAGTGGATGAGCTTTCCGGGACAGTTTTTCACACCGGCGTACCACAACATCGAAAACGAGCGAGCGTGGAACGATTCTTCTGATCCTTCTGATAGCGACGGAAGCGGGAGTACGGTTCGGGAAAATCAACCGAGTGCGGAGGATAAGGGGAAACAACGGGCCGAGACATTGGACGACCTGATTGCCGAGGGACGTAATTTGGTCGAGCAAGTCCAGAAGAACGGGGTCATTGGATCAGAAGTGGCGGAAAAGGTTAAGCTTTTCGAAGGACAGGCTTCGGGATCGAGCAAGAAGGTCGGAACTTACGGAGTACCGAGCGAAGGTTCCGAGGAAAGGATGAACGTGGATGACCCAGCGCCGCCGCGGTCCTTGGGTCCGCTGAAGGCGAAGGTACGTCCGAAGGACTATCCAAACATTCGGTTCAGTACTACCGAAGTGTCGAGGTTTCTGGAGCGTTTCGAGGCTGCGGCGGATGGGGAGGGAGCGGAGGACTCGGATAAGGTTCGACAGGTGGTCAACTTTATCCAGGATGAAGAGGCGTTGCGGGATGTGGAGGATATGGATGGGTACGAGAGGAAGGATTGGGCGGAGTTGAAGAAGGAGATGCTGGAGAAGTGGGGCCAAAGCGAGCAAAGGTATCGGGAGGCGGATCTGGATAGGCTCGCGGCGGAGGTGGCGGAGGAAGGTGGCGTTCAGACGAGGGAGCAGTACGGGAAGTACGTCTCTTCGTTCGATCGGATTCTGAAGTATCTGAATCGGAACGGGATCGTCACCGGTACTCCGGGAGCGGTGAAGCGGACCTTCATCAAGGCTTTTCCGAAGGAGATGCGGGAGCGGGCGCTCCGACAGCTTTACGATCGGAACTTGGTGAATAGGTCTAAGGATGGGGGTGTGATCGTTTTGCCCGACATGAAGGAGATCCGTAAGGCACTTCAGGGCGAGATGGACATGCAGGAGTTGGTGGAGGATGGGATAGAAGCAAGGGGCTCGGGATCGGCTAAGAGCAAGGAGCCGGTGACTGCGAAGGAGGTCGGTGAACTGGCGGATACGCTCAAGGAGCTACGCCTGTTCATGCAGAAGACAGTGACCCAGTCCTGGAAGCCGTCGGCGGGTCGTGCGGGAGCTGATGCCACCCCTGCAGCGCCAGAGGCGGCAACTAAGGGGCAGGGATTTGCGCCGCGGGGACCGCCTGCTTGCAGCTATTGCGGAGAGGTGGGCCATTTCAAGGCTCAGTGCGCGGACCTCACCACGGACATGAAGACCCTAGGGGTCCGGCCGGTGATGAGGGACTTCTACCTGGATGGCGAGAAGATAGAAGCGGCCATTCCGCGCGATGAAGTTCGTAGGCGGAGAAGCGCGGAGACCGCTGCGGGTGGTAAGGGCAAGGAGGCCGAAGTGAAGTCCCACATTGGGATAGTGGAGCGGGGAAAAGCATGGACCCCTCCGGCGGTTGCTGCCGAAGTGCGAGCGGTAGCAGCGGAGGAACGGGTTTGTTTTGGGGAGCGGTATGACCGGATGGACCTGGATCAGGCCCCAAGAGCGGAGCCGGTGCCGAAGAAACCGAAAGCAAGGGAGCCGGCAGCTCAACAGTCTGCCGAGAGGAAGAGGGCAGGCGAGCTGGCCCGAAAAGCGTTAGGGAACGATACGGCCCTCTCCCTCACCCTTAAAGACCTGGCGGCGATCTCTCCGTTGATGGCGGAGCAGCTGATAGGGAGTATCCGGGAAGCTGCGGGCCCTTCGTTCAAGGAAACCGCGGAGAAAGTTAGTGCGCCCGTTGAGACGGTGCTAGCGGAAGTGCGGAGCGCGGAGTTCGGCGAGAACGAGAAGCCGGTGCATCGGGCGCTGGTATCTTGCCCCTTGGGGTATGTCGAGATGGAAATCAGGGGCCAGAAGGTTTGGGCGATGATCGACAGCGGCTCCATGATTAACATCATGCCCGCGGAGTTGGCTCGAGCGACAAACCTTGCGCGGCGGAAGACGAGTATGTCGATCCGTACCATGGGGGGATTCAGGTGCGAGGTAGAAGGGGTGGTGGAGGCGGAGCCGGTGCTTGTGGCCAAGGTGGAAGAACGAATCTCGTTCTTGGTCACGAGGTCGAACGAGATTATACTCGGCCGCCCTTTCCTGTTTGCTTTTAGAACGGACCTGCGGTTCTGCCCCAGGCGGAGGGAGGAGATAATGGCGGTGCGAGACTCAGGAGGCAGGCAATTCGAAACCACTATCTGCCAACCACAGAGCGGAGAATGGTTGAACCACGTGGTGGACGAGGAGCGGCATGGCGAGTGGTGCCATGAGCCGCCACCGGAGGATTTTTAGATGTCGGCCGAGTCATCCGTACGGGGAGAGCTTCGACTCCGTATGGACGGTCGACAACTAAGAAGCGAGAGGGTATAGGTGTGGAGATGGGGCGAGGCGACAAGGGAGCAAAAGTAAGTCTTCCGTCGTATGCATCTCCGGGGAATGAGTCGAAACACTACTTCAATGCCACTGTCGTGAGCAACGCGTGTGCAATAGGGGTAGCGGACGAGCGAGGGAGAGGAACCAGCGGGGTTGGCGGAGGAGAAGAGCGGAGTCAGAATAGAGGAGCGGAGGCCAAGAGGGTGCAAGTAAGTCCTCCATCGTGTGCATCTCCGATTGGTACTACTGTAAAACACTATCATAGTGCCACATTCGTGAGCAAAGGGGAAGGTCGTGGACTGTTGTTAGCTCGACGGGATGCAGGCGACGGGAATTCTCGACTCACTAGGGTGAACGGGGGAAAGTACAAACCGGTGGCGAAGAAGGTCCGGCCGCAGAATGAACCGATGCCGCAGGACCTTAATCCTCCGTTGCGGCCTATTGAGTGGGATCGGGATCCTTTCTCGACGCCGCTGTCGAGAGTTCCGCCGAGGTTCGCTCCCTCTGAGAAAATCACTACAGAGCGGATCGCGAGTTTGAACTTTGGGCCGGAAGGGTGGCTGAGCGAAGAGGAGTTCCATCTGTTGGCGGATGTGGTGAAGCTGCGGGAGAAGGTGCTGGCGTTCGGACCGGAAGAGAGGGGCTTGTTGAAGCGGGAGATCGGACAGCCATATAAGATTCCGACGATACCGCATGAGCCCTGGCAGATCCGTCCAATTCCGATTCCGGCGGCGATTCGAGGGGCCTTCATGGAGTTGATCAAGGAGCGAGTGCGGACAGGGCTGTACGAGCAGACCAATTCAAGTTACTCTAGTCCGATCTTCGCGGTACTGAAGCAAGACAAGACAAGCTTGAGGATCGTGCACGACTTGCAGCGGTTGAACTCAGTGACTATCCGAGATGCGGGGCTTCCGCCGAGAATTGAGGAGT